GTCACCCTCGTTTCTTGACTTGTCGGGCTGCATGCTTGGATAAGGATCTGGTATAGATTTTGGGGGGACCCCCATGCCATTTTTTTAAAATTTTGGTGTGGGGGTTCCCCTCAAAATTCATACCAGCCCCAAAGGGGGACCCCACGTGGTATTTAAAAAAAATTAATTTCCAGGAAATGCTGTGGATTCTTTTTACATTCAGCTGTCACCAGGGAACCCTGCTGACAGTTGAAACATTAAAGAATGTTTTTAGTAGCTGTGCAGTATCTTACCGCATACTGTTTGAAGTTCATGGCCAAACTTTTGTTAGGTTCGAATGTTTGACCGCGAACCCGACAGGGGGTGTTCGAACCATCACTATTAAAAAAGTCTATCAACAAACCTGCCCAGTCAATCATCAATCATTACAATACTTAATTAGGCTCATTTGCACCTTGGACATTTTAATATGATTTCAAGTGCATTTTCATTGTGTTCTAAAGTTTTCATTGTGTTTTAGTTTCTGGTGTATTGTACATTGTTTTCTCTATATATTTTTTCAGTCATAGATAGTTCTGTATTACGTGTTCATCTTCTGCATTTAAATGTGCCATTTATCCCTATGAAAGATGAGCTTGCAGAAACCACATCAAAGATGGAGCATGCAAGAAATAGATTGGAACAAAAAAAAAATTAAAGGATGTTTATGGTCATAGCATATACTTTCATTTTATAACATCAGCATTATAACAGCAATAAAATTAAATAATATTTTTTTGACAATACAATATAAGCTTACCTGAGAAATCTGAAAGTGAAAGCTTGTGAGCTGCTATGTGAGTGATGAATATTACTGAGTGCTAATTGTGAATCGCCTGCACCTAACACATACTCATACCAGTGTGCCAAACCAATAGTAAATACCAAAAGTGTGCCATGCTTCACTTAAAATTTCTCAAAATAAATAATATGTGCATCCGAGTGCTACTAATAATAATACATATCAAAAAAAATAGAATGAATGAATCAACCAATATCAATTTCCAAAATCGATGTCCATGTACATGCCAAAAATAAAAAAAAAAGTCCATATATAAACTTCAAATGTGCATAGTTCACTTTAGACTAAAATATCATGTGCTTCTTAATTGATTTTTTGTGTGAAAAAACTTGCATTAGTGTGGGAAGATGATCAAGATCCTCTATTACTAATTTCTTAAACATGTCAACATGTACCTGTTATCTTTAGGGACAGGGTTAAATATAGATTTATTCTTGAGTAGATTATGATGTGCTTCCATATTCTCATCAAGTTGTGTGGAGGGTACATGTGGTTGTTGGACATAATGTTTTTTTATATTTAAGTTCCTAACTAATTTGCATATATTTACATAACCGTCAAACTTATTAAGGCTATTTTTGAGTGCAAATTTGAGTCCCTTGTCAAGCACTAGTAACTCTTCCTTAGTAAGTGGAGCCCCACTTAAATTGAAGATACCTGCTCCTATCATTCCCTTCTTTTTTTGTGTTGTTCTTCTTCCATCTCTGCATCCTCTCTTATGGGTCTTTCTCTGTGTTCTCCTCTTCCTGGGGGTTGATCCCAACAATTGTTATGTGTGGCTTTATAGACCATTTTGCATGAATGCTGGTAAAATAGTAGTGGATACCATGCCACCACCCCAGTGAGGGAGGTATGGTGTCAATTTGCCTATGGTTTATTAAAATATATAGATGCTGTTTTAAACATTTTTTGTCTAATAGTAAAGAGTTGCAGTGATTTAGAGCAACTGAGTATACCACATGAGGGCCTTCAATAATATGGCTCCAGAATGCCACTTTACAATCCAATGGCAAATGACAGGATGATTGTATCATAAAATAGTGGATATAATGTTGTTATATTAATGGGGTGTCTGATATATGAAAAACTGTTTTGGTTTTTATGTAAATATTGTTGGTATATTAACCACTTCCATACCGGGCACTTTTACCCCCTTTCTGCCAGGCCATTTTTCAGGTTTCAGCGCTCTCACACTTTGAATGACAATTGCGCGGTCATACAACACCCCCACACCAAAATAAAATGTTATCATTTTCTTCACACAACTAGAGCTTTCTTTTGGTGATATTTAATCACCGCGGGGTTTTTTATTTTTTGCTAAATTAACAAAAAAAGACCGGAAATTTTGAAAAAAAAAAACGTTTTTCTTTGTTTCTGTTATAAATGTTTGCAAAAAAAAATAATTGTTCTTCATAAATTTAGGCCGAGATGTATTCTGCTACATGTCTTTGGTGAAAATAACCCAAATTAGGATGTATTTTTTAGTTTGTAGGAAAGTTATAGAGTTCACAAACTATGGTATAGATCTGAATATTGATCAATCCTGAAGTACTGACAGCCAATCTAATTTCTTGAGGTCCAAGAATGTCAGAACAGTACAGATATCCCCCAAATGACCCCTTTTTGCAAAGTAGACAGTCCCACGTACTTCATAAGAGGCACAGCGAGTTTTTTGAATTTGTATTTTTTCTGTCATAATTTTTCGGAAAATGAAAAAATTAAAAACATTATTTTTGGGGAAGTGATCAGTATTTTTTTTTTTACACAATTTGCCTATAGCAAAGAATTACTTTGCTATAAGCAAGCATTTACCTGAATGACATCGATTCATTCAGGGTTTTTTTTTTTTTTTTTTGTGCATAGCTGTGATTTGGCCCCAGCTAATCACATGACATGATCGCTGTGACCATTCACAGCTAGACACTAGTATACAATGGATGGCATGAATGAAGCCATCCATTGTATACAACTGTCATGTGACCTGCTGTGATTGGTCACAGCAGGTCACATGGTACCAGCAACGGGTGCTGGTACTCAGATCTGTCATCGGCCGTGTCCTAGGTACACGGCCGGCGACAGATCATGCCGCTGCGCAGCTCTGCAAGCGCGCAAACTGCGCATGCCCGGGAGTACGCCATATGGCGTCCACCCGGAAATCTAAAGCATTTTTCTGGTCGCCAAACAGCTATTGGCTGAGCGGCTAATGGTTAATGTATAACAATGCTGCTTTACTGTAATCTATTTTGTGCAGTGAAACTTTTTAAAAAATGGATTAAGTAGGCCTATTATACTTTTAGCAGGGCCAAATTACTTTTACTTACCGACTGGAGATCATTTAAACAAAGTACAATTTGGCTATGTGGAGCATGTAAATTTGCAGAGTGGCAGCTAGCGGTATAATACACGAACATGGAGTATCACCTCGATATGATCTCCATGCCTGGCTCCAACAAAATGGCACAGAAGTGTCCCTATAATAAAGCATGAGAGCGGCGTGTCGTCCAATCATTCCCTCTGATGAAGCCACGTGACCAGTGGGATAACGCATAGGGGAGGGGCTTTGACATCACGATACTCGATGGTTCCATACTGACACCAGCTGGCAATTTTAGGATTTTCACCACTGAAAAAAATCTGGAGGACACATTTTGTGCACAAAGCAGTTTATATACAGAGTATATGTGAGTGCATTACTTTTATTAATAAAATGGTTTTAAAAGGATAAAACACTATGATTTGATTATTCCTCTATATTAACCACCGTAGAAGGAGAGCCTATCAATTGAGTGGAGGAGGACCCCAAACAGCAAGATTATTATTATACAGGATTTATATAGCGCCAACAGTTTGATCAGCGCTTAAGATACCATCCCATCCATACTTTGGCCCATTTAAGGGGACACAAGCGGTATATGACCTTACTTAACGGTTCGGTCATAAAACTTGAGGTGAGAGCACAACCGGCGAGGGAGCACAACCGGTGAGGGAGCACACAAATGCAAGTTTTTTCACACAAAAAATCAATTAAGAAGCATGGGATATTTTAGTCTAAAGTGAACTATGCACGTTTGAAGAAGTTTATACATGTACTTTTTTTTTTCTTTTTACATGTATATGGACATTGCTTTTGGAAATTGATATTGGTTGATTCATTCATTCCAATTTTAATTTATTATTTTGATATGTATTATTAATAGTAGCACTCAGATGCACATATTATTTATTTTGAGCAATTTTAAGTGAAACACGGCACACTTTTGGTATTTACCTGAAAAATCTCCTTTCATGTTGTAAGAGCTGCCTGTCTGCTGGTCATCTCTTTCCACAAATTCCTGGTCTCTCTGCATGCTTTCCAGCTTCTCCTCTGCTCGTTCCTTTGGTTTACTTTCAATTTCTAAGGGCTACATAACCCACTGCACCTTGCTGGCTGCAAATCATGATTCCAGTACCTGAAACTCATCCTCTCAGCACCTTTGTAGTTAAGTAGGCAGGCTATGTGAATGTGTGACACAGCAGTGCCTATCAACAGGACCTAGTGAATGCAAGGAAGTAAATGCATGAGGATCTTCCCAAAGTAAGTTTACACACTTCAAGATCTTTCAGAGTATTAGGATTAAATTAGAAATAATTTGAAATACAAAGAAGAAATCAATATAATTTAACATTTTTACCATAGATATGCCTTGATATGCTTTAAGAGTACTATTAACTGCGTTTTATTGTAGGGCCAAAAGGTGGACACACATTTCCCTGAGAAACATGGCCAGAGATATCTTCCCATTCTCTCATAAGTTGTTGCAGACCCACCACAATGTTCACTCAATTCTGGCAGTGGCAGGAGTGTGATCATGAAGAAAAGGATTAAGTTTGCTTGTAGGTAGATTTTCAACATGTTTCAAAGTCTCTCTTCGAGACAATGGGCATGTCTGACTGCCAGAAGTGCTGTTACTGTGCATAGTATACACAAACGACCCAATAACTGCAATTCATTACTGTATTTTACACATTATCATTGCTCCATTGATTGGTTGATAAGTTAGTGTATGTTGCACATTATCATTGTTTACTCAGTCTACAATAATAAATAAGCAAAACTTCTTTAACCGCTTAAGGACCACCTACAGTACATTTACTGCTACAGGGCGGACCCTGTGCGCAGGATCACGTATATATATATGTGATTCTGCATTTCCGGGTAGGGGCACACACGATTGCGGCCCCGGGTGTCAATCACCGGGTCCCAGCCGGTAATTACCCACCGGAGCCCAGTGATTACCGGCGTTCACTGGCAGGGAGGAAGACTGCATTGTTTACCAACAGCCCTCCTGCCTGTCAGTTTGGGCACACTGCTCTGGATAGCTGAGAAGAGCCATCCAGAGCAGTGTGCTTACAGTGAAGCACACACCCCCAGCCCCATAGTAAAACACTCCCATCACACAGTTAACCCTTTGATTGCCCCTCATGTTAACCCATTCCTGCCCAGTGCCATTAGTACAGTGTCAGTGCTTTTTTTTTAGCACTGATCACTGTATTAATCAGTCTGGGGATGTCAGTGACACCAAGTCAGTTCCCTCCAGTGTCAGAATGCCCGTCGCAGTCCTGCTATAAGTTGCTGATCGCCGCTATTATTAGTATAAAAAAAATTCCATTATCTATACCGCCATTTTTAAACGCTATAACTTTCACGTAAAACCAATTCATGTACATGTATTGGGATTTTTTGTAGCAAAGACATGTCACAGAGTGCATTTTGGCCTAAACTTATGATGAAATTTGATTTTTAATTTGTTTTTACTGGACATGTTTAATAGCAAAAAGTCCAAAATATTGTTTTTTTTTCTCAAAATTGTTGGACTTTTTGTCTTATAGCACAAAACATAAAAAACGCACAGTCGATCAAATACCCCCCAAAAGAAAGCTCAATTTGTGGGGAAAAAAACAACATAAATTTCATTTGGATGCAGCATTGCATGACTACGCAATTGTCAGTTAAAGTAATGCAGCGCCATAACGAAAACTGCTTCTTTAACTGCTTTCTTACAGCCCTATAGCAGAAATACTGCTACAGGGCAGCATGGGTGTGCAAAATCACCTGTATATATATAGGTGATTCGCACTCCCATGGTTTTCATGCCCCTCCCAGAAAGTGTCAGATTGCCCATCAGTACACCTGTAATCACATTTAACCCCTTGATTGCCAGGAACATGCTCAAACACAATAAACTTCCATTGCTAGTATAGTCTCTGAACGGGTCAATATCTTTGATCAGATCAGCACTATACCAGCGTTCACATTAGTATAGTGTCCCCAAAAACACAGCGTTAGTGGGATCAGCCCCAGCACCGTCCAGCACCTGCGTTTAGCCCCTACGCTTCCCCCCCTTCTTCTCCCCCAGCAAATGCAGTGTCAGTAGGTCATTGTCACTTGATAGATTGCACACAAAACCGTAGTGTTCGCAGAATCAGGCCTGATATCTGCTAGCACTTGCTGGTAAATTTTGATGACTCTTATATGCAGCAGAGTGCCAGTACTAGTGCCGCTCTACCTTTTTGGTGAACTGGTGAGCACCAGCAGCCTAGTACATCCTGGTCTTTCACATACCAGCACTGCAGTATCACTTGGTGACATGGCGAGTTCCAATTGGCAGCCTACAAATTATGCAGCACCCATACTTCCCCATTCACTGCCCAACCTGGAATTCAGGTGGAAACAGCAAATTTAACTGCTCCCCTTGAATTTTTGTTGTTGTTTTTCACGGAAGATCTGTATGAATTGATTGTGGATCAAAGAAATTTATATGCACAACAATTTATCACCGCTAACCCAAATTCAAACCTTTCAAGACCATTCACATGGAAACACATTACGGTTTCTGAATTTAAATTTTTTGGGGGCCTCACCCTCAACATGGGCATTACTAAAAAAATGAATTGCAGTTGTATTGGTCCACATACCCGATTCACCATACGCTGTCATGGCCAGACATAGATATGAGAGTATAATGTATTTTATGCATTTCAACGACAACACATTCTGTCGCCCTCGAAGTGACCCTGAATTTGACCGGCTCCACAAAATTCGGCCTCTCGTAAATCACCTTAACCAAAAATTTGCAGATGTCTAAACTCCCCAGCAAAACATCTGGTTGATGAGTCCCTCATTAATTTTTCTGGCCACCTTGCATTCAAACAATTTCTCCCCAGCAAGCATGCTAGATATGGGGTCAAGATGTATAAGACCTGTGAGAGGGCAACAGGGTATACATATAAGTTTCGGATTTACGAGGGAAAAGATAGTCAATTTAAATTCTTGGAATGGCACTGTGCGCCCTAATGTGTGCCCACCATTAGAAGTGGATGGGTGCAGGGTGGTATATTCTAATGGTGGGCATACAAGACACTTTATCTGGCAGAGATTTCTTCTAATTTTTTCATTCAGCCCGCAGGCTGCATATAAAAAAAAAAAAAAAAAAGAACATAGCATATATACCTAACAAGGACCAGCGACGTACTGGTACATCACTAGACTTTGAATGGTTATACCAGGATGATGCCTATAGCTGCAGGCATCATCCTGGTATAATGTTTTCAGCCGGAAATTGGCTTTCATGTAAAAGCAATCCTAGTGGCTAATTAGCCGCAGGATTGCTTTTACAAGCAGCGGGAGGCGATTCCCCCGCTTCCTTCCATGGCCTTCTTGGGCAGTCCTGGCCATTGGGGGAATCTGAGAATGCAGCCAGTGTTTCTGCCAGCTGACCATAGAGATGATTAAAGACCAGAATGGTGCCAATCATCTCTATAGTCTAAGAAATCAGAAGCTATGAGCATTTCATCACTTCAGTTTTGCAGGAATATAAACCCAAGCCATTTGTAAATTGGGAAAGCATCTGATCACACCGATCTTGGTGAGATTAGATAATGTATGGGCAGAGGAGATATCTAGAGTCTGATAGACCCCAGATTTCTCAAAAAAGAATATATGACAATGCCCATTGAAGTTATAGGGGTCATTTGCATTCCCTGTGATAGCATTAAAAGTGATAAAAAAAATAAAATAAAAGGGACAGTGTAAAAATAATTTAAAAATCAAAATAACTTTAAAAAAAAAAGCACCTGCGCCCCCCCCATGTGAACAAAAAGTGTCAGAAAAGCCACCCCCCAAAATGACCCCTTTTTGGAAAGTAGACACCCCAAACTATTTGCTGAGAGGCATGTTGAGTCAATGGAAGAATTAATTTTTTGACCACACTTTTTTGGAAAATGACAAAAAATGTTTGGTTTTTTTTTACACAAAATTATTATTGCTCACACATGCCATGGGTATTAGTGAAATTACTCCCCAAAATACATTCTTCAACTTCTCCCGAGTATGGGGGTACCACATGTGAGAGACTTTTTGTACAGCCAAGTACAGGACCCCAAAATCCAATAAGCGCCTTCAGGCTTTTAAAGGGCTTTATTTCCTGATTACACTTCCTGATTACCTATCAGTTTCAGAGACCCTGAAGTTTCGGGATAGCACCAAACCCCCCCAAATGACCCCTTTTTGGAAAGTAGACACCCCAAGAAATTTGATGCGAAGCATGGTGAGTATTTTGCAGATCTCGTTTGTTGCCACAAGAAAATATTGTTTCTTTTCTTTTTTTATATTTGAAAACCTTTTGAGAAAAAATTAGATCTGCAAAATACTCACAATGCCTCTTTTTAAATTACTTGGGGTGTCTACTTTACAAAAAGAGATTATTTAAGGGGGTTTGGTGCTATCCTGGCATTTCAGGGCCTCCGCAACTGTGATAGGTAGTGTTACATACCGCCCGGTGGTATCTCTAGTGAACCACAGTACGGGATTCCCCAGGGCGCGGAGTCTAAGCCCCAGTCTGCTTATTCACCAGAGCCCCTGATGGTGGGGATGGACTTGGAGCAGAGCTGAGACCAGGTCGCGACCCCTGGGTACGCCCAACTGAGGTAGAGAGGACCACTGGGGGTATGTACAGGTGGAAAGCCTGATGTGAAGAGGCTAGCAGGCCCTGGACCGTGGCGACTGGATCCAAGCGGGATGGATGGATGCCAGTGCAGAGTATAGCGGAGTCAGACAGGCCGGGTCGATAACAGCAAATGCAGACAGTACAAGGTAGTAGACAGAGAGTAACCGGATCACGAGCAAAAGGTTCAGCAACAGCAGGTCAAATAATTCAGGAGCAGGCAAAAGAATAGTCAGGGACGAGCCAGGGATCAGAGCAGGAGACGGTCAACGGATCAGGGTCAGGCAGGGTCGGCAACTAGTAATCACTCAAGAACTCAGGACACAGGAACAGCAGGAAAGACCATAAGGCAATTTGTGAATTGCCAAAGCCTGTTTAAATAGTGCGCCCTGTGCACTCATTGGTGCCAGGCGCGCGTCCGTGGGCGTGAGTGCGCATGCTCAGCTGTCGTTGCCGCCGCAGTCTCCCAGGTTCTAGTTTCCGCACGCTAGTGCGCCTAGACGGACCGCGCATGCGCAGACTCTCGGGGTTCCTGACAGGTAGTCAGGAAGTGTAATGAGGAAATAAAGCCTTTAAAAGCCTGAAGGTGCTTACTGGATTTTGGGGTTCGGTACTTGGCTAGACTGCCAAAAAGTCTCTCACATGTGGTACCCCCATACTCGGGAGAAGTAGAAGAATATGTGATAGGCAGTGAGGAAGTGAAATGAGGAAGTTACGCACCTTCAGGCTTTAAAAGTGGTCATTGGATTTCAGGCTCCTGTGTGTGGCTAGGCTCCCAAAAAGTCTCACACATGTGGTATCCCCATACTCGGTAGAAGGAGCAAAATGTATTTTTGGGTGTAATTCTACATATACCCATGGCTTTTGTGAGCAATATATCATTTAAGTGACAACTTTGTGTAAAAAAAATGTTTTCCAAATACTTGTGGAAAAAAAAATAAATCTTCCATGGACTCAATATGCCTCTCAGCAGATAGCTTAGGGTGTCTACTTTCCGAAAAGGGGTCATTTGGGGGTGTATGTACTTTCCTGGTATTTTAGCACCTCAAGAAATGTTATGGGCAGTCAAAAAGTAAAAGCTGTGTAAATTCCATTATCTATACCATAGTTTGAAGATGCTATAACTTTCACGCAAAGCAATCAATATACACCTATTGGGATTTTTTTACCCCAAAACATGTGTAGCAGAATACATTTTGGCCTAAATTTATGACTAACTTTGAGTTTACTATATATTTTTTATAGCCGAAAGTAACAAATATTGTTTTTCTTAAAATTGTTCAGTCTTTTTTTGTTTATAGAGCGAAAAATAAAAAGCGCACAGGTGATCAAATACCACAGAAAGAAAGCTCTATTTGTGTGAAAAAAGGACGTAAATTTTGTTTTGGTACAGCATTGCATGGCCACGCAATTATGAGTTGAAATAGTGCAGCACCGAATAGCAAAAAGAGGCCTGGACATTAAGGGGGTAATTCCTCAGGATAGCAAGTGGTTAAAAAAAATGCATAAATCAATGAATACCAGATGTAACCACAACATGGTACAAGTGCCACTACATTATACAACATAGTATTTGACATGATATTCGATAAGCAATGCAAAGAGAAAAGCACAACTTTTACATAG